TTCGAGGGAGAATGGGTCCATATTTGATATGTTGAGGAGAACATTAATGCTCTTGTGAACTTTAACCCTTTCTACACCAGTCTTGTTTTTAACAAATTCAAAATGAACTCATCTATCCTCGGGGGCGGAGCTACGTCACAGACGTTCCACGTTGCTAAGACGCGCACCATTGTACCACGTATTTCTATGGGCTTTGTGCGCGCTGCTGTGGAACGCCTGTGAAGCCGGTGAAAACTTGAGAAAACAACACAAACTCAACTTTGAAGTAATCCTGAACAACCAAATTCATATATGTTACACACTTAGGGCTAATCTTGTTACACTGTTCAGGGAACTCTCAACAAGCATCGCAAAGTACCGTTTTCTGCGAGTTTTTGGTCTTTGTTTTCACCGCGAGGGTTGCCAGGCGGTAGAAAATGCCCAAATGTCCGCCCCCGAGGATAGTCTGCACTTTCCTTCAGAAGATTAAGACAAAAAATGGCCAATTTATTTGAGTAAAAACTGAAGTTTGACAAAAACTTTGTCTCTTGGCTCTAAATTTAGGGTTAAATTCCAGAAATATCGAAGAATATAAGAAAAAAGTGCAGAAAAATATGGATGAGAAAGTCTGATGGTAAAAAGGTTAATGCTCTTTTCACCACCAGTTTCTTCTTTTCATCAGAAAATAGTCCTGTTTATAGTCGCACTTTCCTTCAGAAGACTGGGACAGAAAAAGGCAATTTTTTTAAAGTAAAAACAGGTGTAATATTGTCACAAACCTTTTAAGTAGAGCTGTTGGAATATGATCTCAGTATGAAGCCTTACTGGGTTATTTACAAGACTTCATTAATATAGGTGGGTGAAAAAGATGAGATACTGGGGAGGGGGGGTTACTGTATAAAATTTTTCATCTTCTTTGACATTTAATATCACTAAATTGATGTATTGATGTATGATGTATTGAGCAAATTCACTGCGTTTTAATTTCATGAATTCGCCAATGAAACAACGAGTTTTATTGTTATTTTACATGTTCACAGAGTTTTAACGTAGCGGATTTTACTTATCAGAAAAAATAGCGAAATTAAAACCCAGCAGTGAGTGACAAATTAATGCATTTACAGTATTGCTGAGTTTTCAAAGGGAATTGATTACTGGACCACGAGAATTATCTGCTTCTTGGTCGCCGGTGACAGATTTCAACAATTTTAACATGCCCGTAAGCCAATTAAGGTAGAAGCCTACTCATCATTTCAAATACTGTAAAAGGATTAATTATTCACTGGGTTTTAATTTCGCTTATTTCGCTGACTGCAAAATGCGCTAAATTAAAACCCAGTGAATATGTAAAATTTAGCATAGAACACATTATCTAAATGATAAAACCGTGAATTTAAAACCCACTGAATATGCCTGAAATGCTAAATCAGCGAAATTTAAACCCAGTGAAAATTAATCATTTTTCAGTACCCAGAATTTATTCATCTTCCAATAAACTGTACATCCGGGAAATATAAGGATATTGATTTAAAATAAGTTGGGAGTCACCTGCTTAATTTTAAAGACAATTATGGTTGTATTGCAGTGTATAGTGGCCATTATGGCAGTATTATAGTGATTTTATCATTGGATATTATCCCATATCTTAAATTGTAGCCTGGTGACATAGACTGAAATAATTATATATTGTGAATAATGAAGAATTTTTTGTTTTCCTAATTATTACAGAAATCTGGGTTTTAAAAAGTGGCAGAAAATGCGATTTTTTCTTTAACATTATGCTCTACGAAATTGTTTAAAAAATAGCGATTTCTGAAAAATGTTAGGACAATTTTATCAAAATACTGTATAACATGATGCCATGGGACAATAGATCCATGATTTTGCACAATACGCCAATGAACAATGTCGTGCAATTTATGACCAACTTTCTCAAAAATTATGACGAATTTAAGTAGAAATGATTGCCTCTTTATTTGGCATGATACAACGTAAGCAACGCCTTCGGGTCATCTGAATTATCCTCCATTACATTACATTAGTATAGTGGTTAGCTTTCAATCACTGTTCCCTTTAATTTTTTTGAATCTTGAAAATACTGAGAAAATTTGCCCATTTTCCCCTTGAAATGTTTTTTTTTGCATACAAAATGCATGGAAAGTTTCTCAAAAGACAAAATTTCACTGAGAAACTACAATTGAATCTGAGAAAATTGAGCGAAAATAAGGCTTAGAGGGAACCCTGGCTTTCATGCCATAGCTTATTAATGAATATTAATTGCACATGTTCAAATTTATCCAAGGTGTATTTCAGTTAATGTCACTATACTAGACTTATTGTATCTGGATGCATTGTAGTAGTAGTAGTAGTAAAGTAGTGATTGATGAGTAAAGCCCCGTCAGGTATAAATTATAGTGTGATACTACTGTAGGTACACCTGATCTTTTGTAGTATTCTCTGAAGCAGAGCTACGTCACAGAACGTTCTATGCACCACTCTACCATGTATTTCTATGGGCTCTGTGCGAGCTGCTGTGGATCGCCGGTCAAAGAGCCGGTCAAAACGGCTAAAGTCAAGGAAACAGAACAAATTCAACTTTGAGATAATCCTGAGCAACTAAATTTATATATGTAGAACATGTTACACTGTTCAGTCTCAACAACGAGCCCAAAGTTCTGTGTTTTGGGAGTTTCAGCATTTGTTTTCACCGGTGATGATTGCCAGACAGTAAAAATGCCCAGATCCCCCCTCTTCCAAGAATATAGCAATGTCGAGATGATTGCATAATAAAGTCATCTTCTTCATCCTCTTCATTTATTTATTTGTCTAACGAGAAAAAAGAAATTGTTCAAAAACTTGCATTTCTTTCCTACATCCGTGCCTGAACACTTTATATAATTTTTGCTGACATATTAACCTTTTCACCACCAGACTTTTTTTCTCTAAAATTTTCGGCACTTTTTTTTTTCATATTCTTCAATATTTCTGGAAATGAATCGTAATTTTGAAGCCAACAAACAAAATTTTGGTCGAGCGACAGAAACCCATGTTCATAAAAGTTTCATCATGTACCTTATACATAGGTGTAATTACAGTTTTACCATGGCATGACTGTAATTCAGAATGACTCGTTTGTTTTGATTGATGAAAGGCGGCGGGCATGCTGGGCCAGGTGCGATACAGGAAATTATTGCCGTGATGTAAGGGCGCACTTCCCATAGCGTTATGAGGCCAGGCTAAACGAAGTATATGATAATGTCTAATAAAAAGATACAATTTCAAAAAGCTGATGATGTAAGCTTTCTGTTTGATAAATATCTGGCGATAATAACAGTATTTTAGGCAGTCGTAAAAAAAAATATGAAAAAAAGTAACGAATACTTAAGATGAGAAAATAGTTGAATAAAATAACATTCATCTTATTATTATTACTTTTATTGATCATTTTTACTGCACTTTTATGTTTAGTGTGCCATCGGAAAGCATCGCTCACTTTACTTCATCATCATTCTTTATTTTGTAACTATACCTATACCAAGGGTTTATAAAGAACCTGTTCAATCCAATGCATCAGTTCTGTCTGTTCATTTAGCAAATAAACATCCAGTGATGCTTGATACGTTTTTTGTATCTGAGTTAAGTCATGTTGACAACGGAACTTATCTCCCCCTACGATACTCACTGGGTTTAATTTGATGTTTCCGAGATATTCAAATTTTAAATTCACTGATTTGTTAAAAACAGAATATATTCTTTTGTTAACTTTGCATACTCCTTGGCTTTCAAATTAGTGCATTTAACTATCAAAAAGATAAGCAAAATGGAATCCCATGAAATAATTGAGCTCTGTTAAAACTATAGTTTTTGAAATTGACCACTTACAGAGATCTATCATACCTTACACTGTCTACAGGGTCTATCTTTCAGAAAAAAGAAATGCAATAAATCACTTAAAAATGACATCAACCCATGGAATAAATATGAAATTCTAATTTTATATAATAAAAAAATAGCGTAATAACACTGAAAATTATGTTTACATACAAGTTTACAATAATAAGCATATTTGTTTTAAAAACTTCGCTTCCAAGTAGTCAACAAGCTGACCAAAATTGTTTTGCTGATTGTCAGTTTTCCCTTAATTATTATTGAAACGATTGATTTAAAAGAAATTTTATGAAACCTCTGAACACAATGAATATAATTAACCTTTAACCTTTGAAATGTATTTGCATAAATCAATTACCCTTTGAACTTTATGAATATAATTAACCTCTGAACTCCAACCCACTACTTGTTCACATGTAACAAATAAATTTCAATTTTTTTTTCTTTTTTCTTTTCAAGGTGTTGCTAGAATTTTATCAAAAGAAGCTGGTATCAAGAATTTGCATATATTACAGGTAAGGCATAGAAACATGAATTGTTATAGATAAGGCCCGGAAACATGAATATGCATATATTATAGGAGAGGCCCATGAACTTGAATATGCATATAATACAGGTGATGCCCTGAAACAGATTTATGCATATATTACAGATAAGGCCCGGAAACATGAATATGCATATATTACAGGAGAGGCCCATGAACTTGAATATGCATATAATACAGGTGATGCCCTGAAACATGAATATGCATATATTACAGGTAAGGCCCAGAAAAATGAATATACATATGTTACAGATGAGGCCCAGAAGCATGAATATGCATATATTACAAGTGAGGCCCAGAAACACGAATATGCATATATAACAAATAAGGCCCAGAATACCCCTCCCCTATAATTAGATAGATAGCTTAATTACATAACATAATCACAATTATATTTTTATACAAATTAGTAACTATTCTTTTATTAAACTTTATTTTACACTTTATGGCCTTGAAGAAGACTTAGACTTATACTGAATTCTATACAAGTTAAATGACTTAAAGTATTTAAGTCAATAAAAAGAATACACACAGATTATGGTCTAAAAAAATTGTGTTTCTGGTCAGTGTACATCACTAAAAAACAGTGTGGCACATCTTTATTTCACCACTACATAGCGCCCTCTATTGTTGACATACAATATTTCTGTGCTGTAAGTATTTTAACCTACCCAAAAAAAACTTTTCTGCTCCATTTAAAAAAAAAAAAAAATTTAACCACAAACTTTTTTTTTCTTGCCATGCTTAACACTGAGAACAATACAATTATATCATTATGCAAATTAGTCAATATGCTATACTCTTAAATGTGCAAGGACTGACATGACTTGTTACTTTCATTTTTTAAACAGGCGGCCTTATTGCACGACACTGTCGAAGACACAGACACTTCTTTTGATGAGATTGAAAAGCAGTTTGGTGCTGAAGTCCGACATATTGTCGCTGAAGTCACAGATGATAAATCATTACCCAAAATGGAACGAAAGCGAAAACAGATCGAACATGCACCGCACATCAGTCGGGAAGCGAAACTTGTGAAACTCGCAGATAAGCTGTACAATTTACGTGATTTGAAGCGAGTGGCTCCGGAGTCATGGACACCAGAACGAGTTCAAGATTATTTTCACTGGGCTGCAAAAGTTGTCGCTGGATTACGAGGAACAAATAAAACGATGGAAGATTCCCTTGATAAGATATTCAAGGAAAAGGGTGTGCTTGTAGAAGCAGAGAATTAACATTTTTTGTAAGATTGTCCCTGATTGGCTCATCAACTATTCAAGAACTGACACACCAATCACAGAACGTGTTGTGTACTGTGTTAGTTAAAAATTACTTATAAAATTGTCCCTGATTGGCTAACTAATCCAACTAATTGGCCCAACCTATTTTATAGGGCCAATCAGGGAAGCACTTTAGTTTTTACTGGATTTGTAAATGTTCTTGTTCTCTACTTAAATAAATCATGAGCTGTAATTTTAACTGAAATAAAAAGAAATTCAGAGAAAAAAAATGCGAAAACATGTTTTATTTGTCGACTTGTCCCTGTTTCTTATTTCTATTTTTCTCATCACGAACTGTCCTCATTTGCATATTTTATCTTTTTGAACAACCTCACTGTCATCATAAACTACCCTCATTTGCATATTTTATTTTTTTGTTCAGCCTTC